TATGCTGGTCCAAGGGATGCTTCTGACAGCATGCGGGATGGTATTCATCGGTTCTTTGGATGTCTTTGGCTTGGGACTGGTTTCCAGCAGCTTTGCTTAAGGAGCCTGCCATCTACTCCTTCACGTGTTCTCTGTTTTTCAAAAGGCTGAAGCTCTTGTGGGCTATTTTGGTTTTTTTCTAAGGGCCAAGATGGCTTTCTAAGCGAATGGGCTTGTTGGGCTTCTTGATTTGGGCTTATTATTTTTTTGGTTGGGTTATCTCTTGGCTAGGTTATTTTGCTTGGGCTTTTGGGCTATTTTTTCTCTCTTGTGCTTACCCACATGTTTGGGCCTAAGAAATGGGCTTGAGTCTCGAGGCTCCCAAGCAACCCGAGACTTTCCATTTCTTGGTCCATCAATGGGCCTCATGTTGATTTATCACCATCCATGCCACAACCCACTCGAGCAAGCCCCAGGTATTTGAGTGGCTTGGGGCCCACTTAAGCTTGTGGCGTGATTAGGTGCGGAATGATAATTCCTTGCTTAGCGTGGCGTGTCGTTTGGCGTGGCATATGTGCAAGCGCATATGATGAATTTTCGCATGCCCAAATCGGGTTTCTTCTTGGTAAAGCATCACATTGGGCCAAGAATTTATTTGGGCCGAACCGTGAATATTTTGGGCCTCAACACCAGTATAGTAAATATACTAAATCATGGTTTTAACCGGCCCATTCGTAACAGGTCAAAATTTATACTCCTATCAAGACATGAAAATCTTCAATTTTTCAATTTCCCCCTTTTTCATATTTGTTTTCTAACGTAGATTTTTCTTCTCAAGCCATAGAAGACTTTAAATATATTAAATCACGGTTTTAACTGGCTCATACGTACCGGGTTTAACTAAAACATCTCTTCCTTCATTCACTATCTCACTTTGTCTAAACCCTAAAATATGATGAGCTAGCGCCTAAAACCTCTCTTCCTCTTTCTCTTATGTTGCTGACAATTGCATCATGTTCCTCTTTCTCCATCGCGTCCATCTCAGTCATCACCATTTAATCTTGCTGGGTAAGTAATTTCTTATTATTTTTCTTTTGAAACAATGTTTTGCGTTAGAAATATATTTTTCGAAAGCACATCCTTGATGTTTTTCTTTTTAGAAAGCATATTCTTGAATTCCTTGATGTGAATATGTTTCTATGCATCTTGCCCAGTTAAAATGTACATTTCCATTTAGCTTAATCCTGGATGGCTTTGTGCAACATGTAGGTTATATAGGCATATCCTTGATGAATTCCTTTGATGTTTTTCTTTTAGGAAATCAAAGCATTTCCTTGATGAACTTTAATAATCTGAATTTCTGTCTTTTTCTCTCTGGTTTGATTTAAGCATCCAAATTTTAAGATTCCAAAATCTGAAAATCTGTTTCTATGCATCCTGCCCAATTAAAATGTACATTTCCATTTAGCTTAAGCCTATATGGCTTTGTGTAGCATATAGGTAATGTAGGCATATCCCTGATGAATTCGTTTGATGTTTTTCTTTTAAGAAAGCAAAGCATTTCCTTAATGAACTTTGACCATCTAAATTTCTACTTTGTTCTTTCCACTTTGATTTAAGCATCCATATCTTTCTAGTTTGAGTCCAAACAAATTGAATACAGCAAGCAATATAGAACATGCGTCACTTTGATAATTGGAATTCTATTGACAGGAAAATGCAAGAAGCAACAAATATCACGTTTTTCTATAAAGGTGGAATCCTTTTGGGATCGAAAACGCGATCTAGAAGTGGATTGAGCTTTGCTCACAATGACTACAACTCGAAGGTTGTGCGCTTGAATGACTATTTGTTTGTGACCAAGTGTGGTCAAAAAGTGGGAGCTGTCAATTCCTCGGTAGCTGAAATTTGTCGTGTAGCACCTAATACTTTGCATATACCTAAATCGCTTGCCAATGAAGCATACAAGTTTCTGGAACAACGAAAAATGAGCCATGTTGTTACTCTTATTGTCGGCTATAGTGGAAGGGTACCAGAAATTTGTAAAGTTCAATGGAAACCATGAGTTCAATTTCCAGATCTTAATGGAGCTGAAATAATAGAAAATTTTGTCGCAATTGGTTCCGGAGCTCTTTATGCTCTTGCAACTTTGGAACGTGTGTATGTACCAAACATTCCCCGTGAAGCAAGCAAGAACTTAGGTTAAGATGCTATAATTCATGCTTCATTATGTAATCATCTGTCTGGGGGTGAGATGGATCTATATTTTATTACTGAAAATGGATATACTACAGAAAGTAGTAGGGTGTTGAATACCTACCTAAAAAGATATGAAATCCATCAACATGACGACAGCTGTGCACTATTGTTTGCTGTTCCATCACCCGTTGGGGTGCTTGGTGATTTTTTTGCATAAATGTTTTTGCTTTGTGTTTTTTTGTTGGGCAAATTGTTTTCGCTTTGTTATGTACTTGTTTATATATATATGAATTTGTTGTTACTATTATTTTTTCCAATTTAGATCCGAGTAGAATTCCTATCAAGGTATGGAAAGCTTCAATTTTCCCCCAGAATTAGATTTTTCTTCTCAAGGCATGGAACGCTCTAAGTTGGGCTAGGAATGTATTCATTGGCTGGGCTGGAATGCGCTGGATGAAACCAATATAGTAAATATACTAAATCATGGTTTTAACCGGCCCATTCGTACCAGGTCAAAATTTATACTCCCATCAAGACATGAAAAACTTCAATTTTTCAATTTCCACCTTTTTCATATTTGTTTTCTAACATAGATTTTTCTTCTCAAGCCATAGAAGGCTTTAAATAAATTAAATCATGGTTTTAACTAGCCCATTCGTACCGGGTTTAACTAAAACAACTCTTCCTTCATTCACTATCTCACTCTGTCTAAACCCTAAAATTTGACGAGCTAGCGCCTAAAACCTCTCTTCCTCTTTCTCTTCTGTTGCTGACAATCGCATTCTGTTCCTCTTTCTCCATCGCGTCCATCTCAGTCATCACCATTTAATCTTGCTAGGTAAGTAATTTCTTATTATTTTTCTTTTGAAACAATGGTTTGCGTTAGAAATATATTTTTCGAAAGCACATCCTTGATGTTTTTCTTTTTGGAAAGCATATTCTTGAATTCCTTGATGTGAAAATGTTTCTATGCATCTTGCCCAATTAAAATGTACATTTCCATTTAGCTTAAGCCTGGATGGCATTGTGCAGCATGTAGGTTATATAGGCATATCCTTGATGAATTCCTTTGATGTTTTTCTTTTTGGAAATCAAAGCATTTCCTTGATGAACTTTAATAATCTGAATTTCTTTCTTTTTCTCTCTGGTTTGATTTAAGCATCCAAATTTTAAGATTCTAAAATTTGAAAATCAGTTTCTATGCATCTTGCCCAGTTAAAATGTATATTTCCGTTTAGCTTAAGCCTATATAGATTTGTGTAGCATATAGGTAATATAGGCATATCCTTGGTGAATTCCTTTGATGTTTTTCTTTTAGGAAAGCAAAGCATTTTCTTGATGAACTTCGACCATCTAAATTTCTGCCTTGTTCTTTCCGCTTTGATTTAAGCATCCATATCTTTCTGGTTTGAGTCCAAACAAATTGAATACAGTAAGCAATATAGAACATGCGTCACTTTGAAAATTTATCGTGTGGCATCTAATACTTTGCAAACACCTGAATCGCTTGCCAATGAAGCATACAAGTTTATACAACAAAAAATTAGCCATGTTGTTACTCTTATTGTCGACTATAGTGGAAGGGTACCAAAAATTTGTAAAGTTCAATGGAAACTAGGAGCTTAATTTCCAGATCGTAATGGAGCTGAAAGGTTTGAAAATTTTGTCGCAATTGGTTCCGAAGCTCGTTATGCTCTTGCA